TTAATAAATAAGTTAAAAGAGGATTAAATAAAGAACCTAAATATTAAAATAACTTTTAGATTAAGTAATAAATACCTAGTCCTACTAATAATTAGACTTTTAGAGAAAAAGAAAGTTTACCTTATAATTTAGATAAACTTTATAATATTATGTATTAATATACTTATGTAGAGATTACTTATAGATTTACTTTTAGTATAAGTAATATTAGCTTTATAGAGAAATCTAATAGTAAAAAAGAAACTTAATAACTTATTTAATACTAAATAATTAATATAAACTATAATAACTAATAAAAATATTTCTATAAAGCTTCTATTAATTTAAGAGATCAAGACTATATTTTAAAACTTTATATAGAAGATTATTTAATTTTAAGAAGTGATTATTAATATTTTTAAACTTTTTAAATTTTAATGCTTTTTTAATAGATATAAAGAATACTTTAGAGATAAATATAGATATTAGTTCTATTTTAGAAGATATAATAAACACTTTATTTGAGATATTTATACTACCTCTATTATAATTAGATAGATTATAACTATATTTAATAGTAATTTAGTAATCTTTAGCTTAAACTTTTAGTATTTTATAAAATATTAGTATAATAATATTATAAAATAAGAAGCATATTGAAAAAAATAAATGCTTTATATATATAACTTAAAAATCTACAGCTTATAGGCTTCTATAAAAAGATTTAACCTCCTAAAAATATATTTCTAAAAGCACTACTTTATAAAAGCATAATACGAAACAAAATAGATTACTTATTCTAAATAACTAAAATAGTTAAAAAGCTAAATTTACTTATGAACTGAGGATTAAAATAGATAATAATAACAAAGTCTATATATTTAGCGTCTTTAGACTAAAGAATATATTTATAATTTATAATAATAATTAACAATAATATTATAATTATATTAATAGGTAGTAAATAAAAAAGAATTGTGTATTATTTTAAATAGTGAATAGGTTTTAATTATTAGAATAAAGAAAGAAATGTATATATTAATTTAATAATATAGAAAGAGAATAAGTTTAATATAAAAAAGGAAGTATTAAAAATAAAAGCATACTTCTTAAAATAAGCTATTTAAATTAAAATAAATAACTTTAATTTAATATTACTAAACTTAATATATATAATATTATATTAAGAATACTATAGCTTAAAAAGAATAACCTATAGATAAATTAGAGAATAAACTAACTTTATTAGAATAATAATAATTTAATCTTTAAATAGCTTTATAAAATCTAAGCTTTGAATAGATTTACTAAATAAAAAGTAGTAAATAATATATTTACTATTTTAAAATAAGAAAAGCTATATTATATTTACTAAAAATAATAAATCTTAACTAAGAGAATAATCTATTTCTATTTATTTTAGAAACATAAAATTTATAAAAGGCTCTTTATAGCTAAACTAGAAACTAAACTACTTAAATACATAAAGTTTAATTATAAAATCCTTATTAAAAAGGGAACAAAACCTAAATTTAATAAAACTTATAAACTTAACTTAGTAGAAATAGAAGCTTTTAATAATTACCTTAATAAAAACTTTAAAAAACTGCTTTCTAAAAGATTAAAAACTATATTATTAGTAAATTAGTCTTAATAATTCCTATTTTAAAACGATAATTTAAACTCAAAATAGATATTTTAAACTTTACTTTTAGAGCTTAATTTTCTTAGAGAGATTTAGAAAGATAACTATATTTTTATACTTCTTTCTCTTGTAAACTTTATGTATTAAAACTTTATTAATTTATATATAATAAAGAACTTATAATAATTATAAAAGCTTTTAAAGAATAATAACTTAAGCTTTTAGGAATAGTTTATAAAATATTTATATATACTAAATATACAAACTTAATATATTTTATTATATTAAAAATGTTTAATAAATAATAAATTAAAATATTCGAATTCTTCTTAGAATTTAACTTCTAAATTATTTATTAAAAAGATTAAAGAACAGTAAAGTTAATATCTTTAGCTAATAACTAAACTATAACGTTTTAATATTAAAAAAAGCTTAAGTGATTTTTAAATAAAATAATAAAAGAGATTTTATACTTATTATAAGACTTCTAATAATAACTAGATAATCTATAGTTAACTTAATTAGTAAACTAAATAATAAAGCTATTATAAAGTTTTATAGTTTATTAGTATATAATTATTCAGGAATTATAAAGACCTAGAAATAATTATGATAATAATATAGAGAAAAAGCTACTAGAGAATATATCATAATAATAATTAAAAATTATAAAGTTTACTTAAAAAATAGATTAGCTTAATATGAACTTTATAGATTATTCTAACTTTAATTTATATTATAAATAACTTAATATTTTATATTTCATAATTTTATTATTAAGCTATTAAAGTTATACAAACTTTTAATAGAAGTCTATTTTAATAATATCTTTATTATTATTAGTAGAATTATAAAATATATCTATATTATTTTATATAAGGAAATAAATAATACTCAAGAAGTTCTTCATTATTTTTAAATATATTATTACTAATTATAGAATATTCAAGAAAATTATGTTAGATAAAGATAAAAATTTTATTTCTTAGTTTTAAAAATTAATTATATTATAATATAATATTAAATAAGTGATATTTATTATATTCCACTTATAGATTAATAGATAAATAGACAAGATTAATCCAATCTTTAAAACTTATCTCTATACTTATATTAATTATAACTAAAATAATTAAATAATACTTTTATTAATAGTTTAATTTATATATAATAATATAATTAGAAAAACTATTAAGAAATCTTTTTTCTATTTTAAATATAGATTTAAACTAAGTATTGATAGAGAACTTTATATTACTTTAGTACTATTAAGAATTACTATTATAATTAGATAAATTAAAGATAACTTATCTAAAATAATATTTAAAAACCTAAATTTGTATCATAATAGATAATATAATTTAGTAATAAATAAAAGATTAAAAGGCTAACTTTAAAGAAAAGAGATAATATTTATTTTACATAGTGAAATATTAAAGTAAAATAACTAAATAATAAACTAGATTTTAATAACTTAGACTTTTTAAAATCTTCTAAAAGGTTTTACTAGTTACCTATAAACTTAACCTATTTAATATAATAAAATATTTCTTAATATTTTATATTTTACTATTCAAACTAGTATTATAAGGATTCTAAAAAAATAATCTTATTATTATAAAAATAATAAACTAAAATATAAAGCTAAATGAATTATTAACTATTTTAAAAAATTAGAAAGATGTTGATATTTTATTAAGTAAGAAGGATATAGTTATAAAAATAATATATAAAAACTAACTAAAAGTATTATTAATATAAAAGATAAACTTATAACTTATTAGTAGTAATATTAAAAATAAAACATAACGCTAATAATATTAATAATATTACTTTTAATAAATACTACTAGTTATAAATATATTAGATATGTATATAAATATATTAGATTACTAATAGAAGTAGATAAACTATAATAAGAAAACTATTTATTTATTTAGAAATACTACAAAATAACTAAGACGTTTCTAATAAAAAGTTTAAAATAATAAGATCTTAATTAAATAAAGTATTTATATTTTAAACATTTTAAATATCTATTAATTATACTTTTAATATAAAATCTAATATATTCCTTAGAGACTTAATAATAACTATCTTGTTTTCTTTCTTAAATATTATTTATTTCTATTTTTATAATTACTCTAACTTTACTAATAATTTATTTAACTCTAAGCAAGCTTTTTAATAAGCTTTAGTTTTTTACTATAAAATAGCAGCTTCTTTTTATAAAACTTAGCCTGTTCTACTATTTTAGCTTTATTTAAATAATCTAATTCTATTACTAAATAATTCACTGTTTATTAAAGTTAATAAAGAACTATATAATATAATTGAGGAATTTATAAATATAAATTATATCTTTAGAAGTATTACAAAGAATATTTAGATAATAGTAAGTTATATAGATATTAAAATCTAGAAAAAGTAAATTATATATATTATATAAATAATAATTTAAATAAAGTATTTCGTTTTTAATATTTTTATTAGTAAATCAGAGAATTTAAAATAAATAATAATAAGTTAAAATATTAAGAGATTTTAATTTTTAAATATAACTTAATACAGTATTAATATTATAAGTAAATTAGAAAGTATAATTAATAAGTTTTTAATTTAAAACTAATAATCTATTTATATTAGGTTTTATAAAAATAAAACTTTTAAAGAGAGGACCTAATATTATAACTTATAAATAAAAACAATAGTTAAATAATCTACTTAGATATTAAATAGCTATAATAAAATACTTATATTATAGGATTATAAGAATAATAATAGACTTATTTAGAAGTAAAGAAACTATAATATAAATTATATAATAGTAAGGAATAAATATAGATAAAAGATCTATAATAAGCCTTTAGTAGATATTAAAATAAATGTTTATTTTACTCTAAAAAGAGTACTTATAGTAATAAAGAGAATAATACTCATAAATAATAGAACTATTTAGATAGAAAACCTATATATAGTATCATTTAAATCTTACTTAAAGTTAAACTTCTATAACTTTTTAGTAATTAACTTTATATTTATTTTTAAGATATCTTTAGCTTATTTTTATTATAGATACTCTATTAAGTCTAAGACTGATTATTTTAGCTTCTAAAGACTAATTTATAATAAGCTTATAATTATAACCTTAATATATTGTTACTATGTGTTAATCTCTAGCTTCTGTTAGTAGACCTTATTATTAGATAGCTAACTGTAATAATATACTTTATAAGTTAGCTATAGAGGTTACGCTATAACTTTTTATGTATTTCCCTATTAGAGTTATATAGTAGTTAATAAGGTGCGCCTCCAGGCGGCAAACTGCGAAGAAGAAAAGTAAGAAGGGAAGAAAGTGTCGGCGTTGTTGCTACTTCTAAGCTCTGGCATAGCGGTCTCTCCATCCTTGTCAGACGGTATTCCTTTCCTTCTCTTACGCCACAGAGCGAGTAATACTGCGCCTACTATTCTTGGCAGAGTAGCCCCGATCGCAATGCCTGCCTTCGCAGCCGGAGAAAGCCTACTCGAAGAGGAGGCGTCTTCATCATTGGTGCTCGAAGAATCGGACTCTGCGGCGGGGGCTGTCGATTCCGTCATGTCCATTACAGATGTTGTGGTTGATGGAGTGTTTGTCATTATCGCCGATGTTGCAGTTGACGGATCGGCTGTAGCTGTCATACTACTAGGCAGCGCCGTTTCGGAAGAGTCGAGGTAACCTTCTGTGACGCAGAATTCGGCGAAAATAGGCCAAATGTCACCTGGGCTTGTGAGCTCAATCATCCTTAGGTAGGTACTTGACCGACGAAATACAATGATCTTAGCTTGAAGAGCTAGTCATGTGGATGATAACTGACCTGAAAACTTTCGGTTGAATCGCTTACACTTGATTTCGACGCATGTCTTCATAACCGCACGCAGGACGTCATCCGTACTTTCAGCGCATATGCACTCATCAAGTCCCAGTTGACAGTTTGTCAAGGAATCGCCGCCAGTCACGAAGCAGTATTGCGCGCAGTATGGCATTTTGGTCCGCCATGTCGTTCCATTGACCGCGCTGGCAAAACGTATGGCTAACGCGGCGGTGAAAAGGAAGGCCTTCATTAGTGACGGAGTGATGACACTCAAGAGGTCTGATCCAGCTGAGCGTGTAGCTCAAGCATCAAGTTGCTGCAAGCAGATGCGCCAACAATGAGCATGAGCATAGACTAGGGGGCGAAAGAAACAAGAGACAGGAGGTACGAAGAGAGTGAGTCGAAATGGCGCTGTGCTGGGTATGTATCCTGGCGGGGGCCAAAGTTGTGGCCTGCTGCCTGGGGGCAAGAAACACGAGTGGGACGGGCGGTGCAGCCAACGGAACATGCATTTTTCCATGAGAATACAAGGATTCATTAGACCTATGAGACTTCAAGCAATCATAAGAATGTGGTCGTTCTTTTGTTTGGTCCGTTGGTCAGGTCTATTTTCAGGTTTCATGGAGTCCGCCTGCACATCGGGCCATTCAAACCCCGGTCCCAACGAGATGTCAACCACTAACTTGATTGCCCCGCCCAGTCCCGGAGTGTGATTTGAGTATGTGTTGGACGTGCCCAATGACAAGGTAGACATCTGTAGTGTGCTATTGAGCCTAAAATCTGCTTCTGGGACTCTTTGGAGCGGCGGAAACGTCCCTTGAGTCAACTGATCTAACACCAGAAATGCCTTCGGCAACTTGTCGAAAGAAATGGCCTTGGCTGTTATTTAGGCAACTTCTAGTTCACGATGTACCAAAACGAGATTGAGAAAGGGGCTGTTATTACAGTCCATTTGCGATTCGCAACCATCAGTCCCTTCAGATCACGAGATCCAGAATGCCTTCAGTCTCAATACGATATTGATGTGGACCACCACGCCCAACAACGATATTATGCCCCACCCTCTGCCGATTGGCTGCTATGCCTCTGTCTTAATAACCTTATACGCTCTCCTAAAGCAAGCTCGTCCTCTTGTATCTGTTTGAGTTGCTCCAAAGTCCGCCTCCTCTCCCGCAGGAGCTGCTCCTCGTGAAGCAAGTGCTCCAATTCAGCCGTGCTTGGAAGTGACGGCTCCGACGAGTTGGAGTTGATATGATCTCCAATCATGGGCTGTGCGATATTTGTGCCGCGTCCCAGCGCCGATGTCGACTGCGAAGTCACAGACATGACCTCAGGTGATGTCCCGCCTAGTTCAGCCGGAGGCCGGTCCTCACATCTCTCAATCTCCGGTCTAGGGGACGCACACGGGGTCCCGTCTAATTCAGCCATCACCTGTTGATTTGAAATTGTTTCGGAATCGGTTTTTTCGGCCTTTGGTGGTATTATGTATGAGTCCAACTCATGCCTGTTCGACTTGTCTCCGCTGCAGAGCTCTGGTATGGTGTGTTCCTCGTCGCTACCACTTGAGCTGGGCTTCCCCCTCTTTCGCCATAGGAATAGCAGAATAGCACCCAAAACGAATACGAGGGCAATTCCTATGCCGATTCCTGCTTTTGCTCCCGCTGACATTCCACCGGAAGAGGTACTAGTGTTATCGCCATCGCTCGTGGACGTGGGTTCGGCTGTGGATGTTGCTGATTGCGCCGGTGTCGCAGCTTGTGCCGTGAGCGAACCAGACTCTGTCGTCGGCGTGGAACTCGCTATACTGGTAGCATCTGCAGTGACACCGGGGTTTGTAAAGGAGGTAGTGAGTGTCGCGATGACGATCGGTGTTACAGTCACTGTTGAAGCCAGCGCCGTCTGGGAGGAATTGAGCCAGTCATTCGCGACGCAGTAGGCCCTCAAGGGGGGCCACACATCTAGGATTCAGCATCAATAAATCTTCCACATATGCGGGACAAGTAGTCGAGCTAGAGAGCATACCGTCGAATGTCGTTCCATCCTTGCAGTAGGTCCCCACGCAGCTTCCAAGTTGTGATCGCCGGGCATCCGTCACGACGATTCCGCAGGCGCATTCGGGATCGATTCTAATGTGACAAGTATCGGAAGGAGAGAGCCCCAAACAATTCCAGGAACATCTAGGAATGTCGAATTTGTCTTGGCCGAAGGCGAAGCGAATCACCGCCGCGGCCCTCATCGCGGACGGAGCAGCGAGAGCCTGTCCGTTAGATATACCGCAAAGGCCGATGAAGGCGGTAGAGATGGGGGCCGACAGGAGTACCAGACGGGATGGTGTGGAAGGGAGGGCTGGCGTCTGGGAGTCCCGATGGGCTTTCTGCTGAGTATGTACCTCACCTGCGGCCAAGTCAGTGGCCTGGGGCAGAAAAGGGTGACCAAGAAAGACAAGGCAACCAACCGATCAAGCACAACGCACGAAAGTGCGAGGTTATGACTGGGATGAGAGATTCTTGGGCCCAGCTAGATGTAATCAGTCTTGCCTTTGGCGTGTTGGTTGGGTCTGATTTCAGGCCTCGCGGGTTCGCAGCTACCAACGAGACATCCAGACCCCGGCTCCAACAGCTTGTCAACCATCAACTCATTTTTACAGCAAAGTAAGGACCCGTATAGCCCATAGGTAGACCAATTCACTGCTTTTCAAGTCGTCGCGTGCTAATTTCAGCTTCCCACTGCGCCCTGCTTGTGCATGGCCAAGTCCCTCGCCTGTGTCGCTGATCAGTCTTGATCCATGATCCACCCAGCATCTCCCACATTTGGTCATGTTAAACGAAGCATGGGACTGACTCTTCCTCTTATACGGCCACATCGCAGGCTAATTGATGAACGCCAATGTCGGGTCACCCAAAGGCGGGCTGCGTGGTCGCTTCCCGGGCCGAGACCTAGTCGACATGAAGTCTGGTCGTTTTTAAGCTTCAATCAAGCTTATTTTCGTGTCACCCACAGCCAAAGCATAATCCAATGACAAGCGCTGCATTCCTTTTTGTCCATACTTATGTACACATCTGTCAAAGTAACTACAAGAATCTCAATTTTTCTTTCAGCCTCAGCAAACGTTCGGTCCCGCAACCAACGCATCCGCAACTGTCTCCGCAACCGCATCGTGGATGGGATAGGTAGGGTGCAGGGTGTTCAGCCAAAAGTACTCATTCACAGGCACACCACAGCTCGCAACCAGAGTATCCTGCGCATCAGTACCACTATCCCAAAGTCAGCATCCCATCTCTCATCTCATCTCAGGATCAAAAGAACTTACTTCTCATACGCCTCACAATACGCCGTCGTGTTCTTCAACCCCGCCGTACTCGCAAACTTCCCGGGCTCCTCAATCGCCCCCTCAAACACCCCATTCGCATCCACAACCCACGCATTCACCCCCTCCCACGCCGTCGCGTTTTTCGCCATCGCGGCAATCTTGGTGTTGAAATCCGCCACGTCCTCCTTGCAAAGCTTCTGCGCGTCCGCGCTCTCCGCAGTCAGCATCGGCGTGCGGTCCACAGGCGGCACGCTCAACCACACAAAGTTCCGCCCGCCAGCCTCCCAGATCTCCTTGGCTAAGCCCTCATACACGCCGACGATCTTGTCGTTCAGCGGACCCGTCGAGTCGGCGCCGTTCCAGTACGAGTTGCCGATGTCGTTCACACCGATCCAGAAGGCGAAGACGGTATCTGCGCCAGTCCACGCGGGCGCCGTGCGCGCAGCGTACGACGCGTTGAAGAGCCCGGACACCTGGTCCTTGAGCGTGAGGACGGTGTCGGCGTACGGCTTGACCAGCGCCGCATCGACGGTCGCGCCGCCGTAGGCGAGGTTGTACGTGTACAGCAGCGAGGCGTTGTGCTTGACGGTGAGGTAGTCGACCCAGTTCGGCCCGTTGCACGAGGTCCAGCCGGGGTAAGACGGGTTGCCGAGCGGGTTGGCGGCGGAGGGCGCGGCGAGGGAGGTGTTGAAGCCTGTTTGGGAGTAGGAGTCGCCGCTGTGGTTTGCGAGGTCAGTATTCCGGGCAAGGATGTTTTACTATTGTTGCGTCTAAGAGATGGGGGCCGACTTACAAGACGAAAGCGTGCTTGATGCCGGCGAAGCCAGGCCACTCTGCCGTGGCGGTGCAAGCCCTCTTCTCCGTCGCGGCGGCACTCACGCCCGCGGCGAGCAGCCCTGTTGTCAAGATTTGAGATTTCATCGTGAACCCAGCACAATGAAACACGACCTCACAGAAACGAATGAATGTCTAAATAAAAACGAACGGCGTCCGATACGAAATCGATACGAAAAAACGAAAGAAGCCGGTGGGATGGGTGATAGGCTCAGGAAGATCGACAGGAAACCTGGGGGATTAATAAACGATGAAAGGAATATCACCAAGGGGGAAACGTTTAATCTACATCTCACGTCGCCCCAGATGGCGGCCCCCTCAATTTACACGGAAGCAAGCAATCGGGGGTACGGTGGGCTCCGGGGTGCTCGGACGGGCTCCGTTGGGAAAGGCGCCGGCATGGCGCTCCGAAGGAGGTTTCTTTTTTTCCCCTGGCAGGGTGGGTATGTCGGCTCCCTGCGTCTGCGAGCTGCATTCTCTATCCCAACCTCGCGGAGTTAAGCAGTCCTTTGAAAAATACGGCAATGATTGTCTCAACTTGCGAGAAGCTTTCTGTCAAGGGGGGTTCATCGCATCGTTCTCCCTCCCCGTCGTCCGAACAGGTGCCGATTGAACCGCACAGCGTGTGTGGGGTAGAGTGGTGAGGGTGGAGCGTTGAAGCAAAATAGGGTGAGGGTGGACTGGGATGAGACGGGACGGAAATTGGACGTCACGTTCGCGGAGGGGAGGTCTCCGTTTTGGGCGCTGGGCTTTGCTGCCGGGCGGTGACTGGGGAGATGGTCGTCCTTGAGGTGTTGATCATGTTGCGGCCTTCATCTTTGGGGTTTTGGATCTTTTGACACCAACAAGTGAGCACTTGCAACAACCGGTTTGACAACTCTTGCTTCCGGATCAACTCCGGGAGACAACATGCACGGTGTTGGTGCTTTCAGGGGACAGGCTACTACTCCGTGTTCAGAGCCTGAATACCGCAACCTCTTCATCATGTTCCTGCCAGTCGCTCAGTCTACTCATAGTGATAGCAACTT